TAGAGGTCTAAATATAGGTATGTACATTTGTAAATACATTTATATATGATGATGGGGAAATAGATCTATGTACATATATTTATAGGTTTAGTACTAAGGAAGCAGATGGACATTGGGCCTCCACTCAAGTACTCCCTCAATGCAAGAACACTTTGTTCTATTAAACTGGCATTCCATGATGCTCACCTCCCCAACACGATCACTGAAGACAAAACAGGTACATAAGCAAATGTGGAGAAGAAAGCTGATGGTGCCTGGCTATCAAAATATATAGCATCTGGGGTCTTATAGGCTTAAAGATAAACAAGTGGCCATCTAGCTGAGAAGCAACAGAGCCCACATGGAAGAAGCACATCAGCCTGTGTGATCACGAGGTATTGATGGGATCAGGTATCAGGCATCAAAGAACAAATCATATCATTGTGAATGAGGGGGTGGGGGAGTGGAGACCCAAAGGCCATCTGTAGGCAACTGGACATCCCCTTACAGAAGGGTCGCGGGGAGGGTAGGAGCAAGTCAGGGTGCAGTATAGCAACGATGAAACAGACAACTTTCCTCTAGTTCTTTAATGCTTCTTTCCCCCCCTCCCCCCACACACACACACTTGTAATGCTTGTCCTGTCTTACATGTAAGAAGCATTAAAGGGGGATGGACAACAGAAAAGTGGGTGAAGGGAGACGTTGGACAGTGTAAGACATGACAAAATAATAATTTATAAATTATCAAGGGTTCATGAGGGAAGTGTGGTGGGGAGGGAGGGAGGGGAAAACGTGAAGCACTGATACCAAGGGCTCAAGTAGAAAGTGAATGTTTTGAGAATGATGATGGCAACAAATGTACAAATGTGCTTGACATGATGTATGTATGGATTGTGATAAGTTGTATGAGCCCCCAATAGAATGATTTTTAAAAGAAAAAAGAAGATAATGGATTTGGAAATGATGATGGCAACATATGTACAACTGTGCTTGATACAATTGAAGTATAAACTGTTATAAGAGCTTTAAGAGCCCCCAATAAATGATTTATTAAGATAAGTACATATATATATAAAGGTAATGGAATTTTTTTCATGAACTTTTAAAAACCATTTTTGTATTATCATACCTTCAGCAACACTAAGAATATCACCCAAATGATATTGACTTTTTAAAAGGAGGTATTAGAATGACATATTTTAAAATATTTATCTAACACAAAAGGAGGCAGTAAAGATGGAACAGAGGAGCAAGAAAATATATATACATGAAATGTGTAGAAAACAAATGACAAGTGTAAATCTATTGGCAATTGCATTAAATGTGAATGATCTAAACACCCTTTTGATATGATCAAAAGACAGATTGTCCAACTGAATAAAAAAGCAAGACTGATTTATACTGCCTACTGTATGTTGATAATATATTTTCTATAAGATACACCTTAGATCAAATACATAAATAGGTTGAAATATAAAGGCTAGAAAAAGACGTTCCATGCATACTGTAACAATGAGGTCAAGAAACTATATTAATCTCAAACAAAATAAACCTTAAGAAATATCAGTAGTGATAAGTAAATCTAATCATAATGTTAAAACATCAATACATGAGGACTATATAGCAATTATTAAGTGTTTTAATTCCTAACAATAGAACTGCAACATACAGAAAGCAAAAACTGATGGAATTTAAAAGAGAAATATGTACTTCAACAATAATTTATATCAATACATCATTCTCAGTACTTGATAGAATAGACAAAAAAAATCAGGAGAATGTAAGACTTAATCTATATTCTCAACTAACTCTAACTGGCATGTACAGAACACCCCAATCAACAAAAAAAATTTTAAGTTGTCATTGTACTGATTCTCACTCATGGCAACCCCATGTGTGAAAGAGTAGTGGTGTGTTCTATGTAGTTTCCCATGACTAATTTTTTTGGAAATAAATCATTAGGCCTCTCTTCTGAAGGCTTCTCCATTAAATGGAAGCCCAAACCTGTTAGCGATCAGCTAAGAGTTTTCACTGTGTGCACCACCCAACGGCTTTCCTACAAAGGGTGCACTTTTATTTCAAGCACACATGTAATAATCTTCAAGACACATCATAAAGTAATGCATGAAATAAATATCAATACATTTAAAAGGATTACAATCATACAGTGTGATATCCAGTAACAATAAAATTATATCAGCAAGCATCAACAGACAGGAATCTGGAAATTTCCCAGATATGTACAGATCACACATTACACTTTAAAATAAACAGAAAAAAATAACTTTAAATGTTTTAAAAAATATTTTGAAACTTTAAAACATTTTGAAGTGAAATAAAAAGATGATGCAACATATCAAAATTATCGAATGCAGGTAAAGCAGTGCTTAGAGGGAGATGTATAGCTTTAAATGTAGGACCAGAAATGAAGAAACTTTAAATCAACATGAACAAATTACAAAAGAAAAAAAAGAAAAAAATTAAAGCAAGCAAAGAAAAGGAAATGACAGGTTTACAAGTCTGATAGAGTGAACCCCCCAAATTATGGCTCTTAGGCATCTTCACAACTGCACCAGAAACCACCTATCAGCCAAACAGTAGGAAGACCTGTAAAGTGAACAGCAACGCCAGAGGAATGTACTCCTCCAAACCATCAAACCCTTTGAGACCAAAAGGGGAAACATTTGACCCCCAAATGTGCAAAGGGCAGGAAAGGGCAAGGAAGATGGGCTCATGGAAACTGGGAACCCAGGAAAACGTAGGGAGGGTACGGTTCCGTTTGAGGGCATTATAACTCCTGTCATGAAACAAAATGTTTATAAATTGTTGAATAGGTGAATAATTTTCGTCAGCATTGTAAACTTTGACCTAAACCACACTAATTTTTTTTTAAGTCTTCTAGGCTTCAAGACCCATCTTCTGGTCTTCGAAGAAGCCTCTGTAATTTACACAGTAATTGCTCTCATTAATTTGAGCAAAAACTATGGTCGGCTTTAAGAGCCTGTTGCACTATACCCATCATTATGCTGTTATCTACCGCTCTCTGGGCTGTGTGCAGTCTATCCTACTATCCTATTGGACATATTTCTTTGTTCCCTATCATGTTCCCTAGCATGACAGATCTGTAAGGTTACAAAGTTTGGTTTGTTCAGAGGTGGTAGGTTGGCCTGGTTGTTGTTTAGCCTCTGCCCAAAGGACTGACGGTGAGGCTCAGTGAGGCAGCATTCCCCTGCACATGAAGGAAGTGAGAACTGACGTACTAGTGATGGCCCCATGCTGTGATAAGAGCAGCCCAGGGTAGTTGTGGCCTCCTTTGGTTCCCCATTGCTTAACCTTTTGTGCCACCCTGGGATTCCTATTAGTCTTCAACGACAAGCAAATAGCAAAAACCACCATAAGCCACCACGAGAATTATTGCACCCGGATGGCTGCAATAAAAAAGGCAGACAGTACTAAGTGCTGGTCAGGATGCAGGGAACCTAATCCCACTTATATTTCTGATGTGGAGTCTACAGTGGTACTCTTTGGAAGGCATCTTGGCAGTGTCTCATAAAGTGAATCTTGAGTTTGCTATATGACTGAACAGTTCCAGTCTCAGGAATCTACCCAAGATAATGGAAACATGCTTTCACCAGAAGAAATATGTATAAACGAGTGTTCAGAGCAACATGATTCATAACCAGAGACAGGGGTGAGGGTGGAAGGGGGGCTACCCAAATAAAACTCCCTGCGCAGAGTTGATTCTGACTCATAGTGACCCTGTAGGACAGGGTAGAACTGCCTCTATGGGTTTCAGAAACTGTAACTCTTAACAGGAGTAGAAGGCGGCCTCTTTCTCCTGAGAAGTGGCTGGTGGTTTCGAACTACTGACCTTGGATTTAGCCACCCAATTCGTAAGCTCTTCAGCACCCAGGCTCTGGCAAGGGGAGGGGAGATCAAGCTGTCTATCCAACCGGCAAATGGACAAAAAGACAATATGGTAAATTCATGCAGTGGAATACTACTCAACTTGCTACAGCCTGGGTAAGCCTCAAAAACACCATCTGAACTGAAAGAAGCCAGATACAAAACACTCCATATTCTATTACTCCATTTATGTAATGTCCAGAAAAGGCAAATCCACCGAGAGAGAGAAAGCAAGGCTACAAAAAACTGGGTTAATCGTAACTAACCTGGCGTGAGGGAACTGTTTGGGGTGATGGAAATGTTCTCTAAAGAAAAAAAAAGTTGGCATTAAAAAAAATGTAATAAAGCCATTAAAGAATTATCTTGCTTTATTTGTCTTTTGTGCTTAATTTTGGAGGGACCAGCTTAACCCTGATGGGAGCGTGTATTTGCTACACTGTCATACAAACTCTGTGCTTTATGTATGTAACTCTATCTAATACGAATTGATAAAGAGACACCTGTTTACCTGCCTGCATTTGTTCCAAGCACACTCTTCCCATACTTCTTTGTGGCCCGGTTCCCTTTCACTGGCTTGTCATGTCCTCCTCAGGTCAGTCTTGCTGTTCCTGTGTTACTACTGGTGCTCTTGACTTTGACAAGCCGCTTGTCCAGGATGATGTGAGCTTTTGGCAACTACAGAGTGAAACAATTTCTGTATGCTTTTGATGTCTTCCGTTAAGTTCTTTTAACACCTTTCCCCGATGAAAATGAGTGGGATCTTATTTCTGAAATGCGACTTGGTTTTAATCCTTTGCTTCTCTTTCCTTTAAAAACAGAATATGCCTCTCTGGGGTCGCTCTATGATTACATTAACAGTAACAGAAGTGAAGAGATGGACATGGATCACATCATGACTTGGGCAACTGATGTAGCCAAAGGTAATAATGCTTCATTGTATTCTCAGGGAATTGGTAGGCACACTTCCCAAGCTGAGATGGAAACTATGTCAGGACATTTGCTATTCTGTATCTTTAGATGTTCCTCTTTTTTGTTTTGGTCTCAAAGCAGTAAGACTTCAGCAGCTCCCTGTACAGATAATAGCGTAGGTCATTGCCTTTCCATTTCTGCGTTCTTGCCCTCTTTTTCCTTATTTCTTTCTCCAAAATCAAGTTTCAACAAACTCTGCAAACGCCAGGACAGCCGCTTTGTCGTGTTTGGTGACTGTCATTGACTTGAATTACGGAAAGATCATGGTTTCTGCCGTCGGGCTGCAAATTCCTATTTAGACTCATTATCCAGAAATAAAAGATGATTTATTATAGGATCATTTTGTATATATAATAATATGCTAAAAATAGTAATTGCATGCCCAAAAAAATCCCTTTTCCTGCCAGCCAAAAGTAATTGAGATTTTATTTTATTTTTAGTATATAAACTTTGAAATCGTCCTTAGAAATAAAATTATTTTAATATGCAAAAATCCGTAAAATATTAGCTAACTAGATGCCCAGTTCTCTTCCCTCATAAATTCCTGCACGAACTGCTTTCTAAAGTAATTCAAATTCCATTTATTTTTATCCCTCCCCCCCATTTTCCTAACTCAACATTTCTGAATATTATTTATAAATAATTGTCAAAGCTGCTTTGGAAAGAACTTGATTTAAAATAATGAGTACTGAATGTTACATTTGTATTCTAACAACCCCTGGAAAGCATGTGTGTCCAAGTGTGACTGGGGCAATTACGGTAAATCCTTTGCGTTTTATGAAGCCACTTTCGCTACAAGCATCTGTTTGCAAAGAACGCATGAGGCTATGTAAGCACGTCGTGAGGGGCAGCTTTCCCTGGGGAGTCAAAGCCTTTGGAGAATTACCTGGTCTGCTTGTTTCAGATACGCCCAACAAAACTTTCAAGTAAAGAAAGTGGAAAAGAAATTTTTTTAAGTTGCATACTTAATGCTGTTGCTGGATGATAATTTATTATATTATGAGATCACCTTTAGGATGGTATAAAGAACCCTGGTGGCATGGCAGGTTAAGCATTGTTTTATATTTATATAGTTGAAGACAGTGTGCTTAACATTTTGGCTTCTGAAATCCTCTTTTGTCAACCGTTGTAGAAACTATGTTTCTATACCTTTGATATGAATTTAAAAGATTCTACCTGAAAATTTACTCAGAAATTGATTAGAAAGCAAGCGATCCTCATAAAATGTACAAAGTGCAGTCCCCGCTCTTGTTGGTGGACGCGACTGGTAGCAGCCCATGCACAACCAGCAAAGCCAGGCCAAGCAAGACCCTCCGTCTTTACAGGTGTTGCTGTGTGAAAGCCCATTGTTGCAGCCACCGCAGCCATCTCATTGAGAGTGCTCATTGTTTTCCCTGACTGTACCAAGCAGAATGTCTCTCTCCAGGTATCAGGTGCAGTTACAGCAGATCAAAGTTTTGCCGGCCTCACGTTTAAGGAGTGTTCTGGCTGCACTTCTCCTGGCAGTTCGGGTCTAGACCATATTCCTCACCAACACCACAATTCACCGACACGGCGTGTTCTTGGTTCTTCAGCCGTGCTCACTGTCCAGCGTTCACAGACATAGGAGACAATTAAAAAGTGCCACGCCTCGGTCCAGAAACACCTGAGTCCACAAGGCGACACCTTTGCTTTTAGACACTTTAAAAAAGAGAGATCTTTGCAGCTGATTTGCTCAGCGCAATACCTATGTTGTAGCAATTGAATTTTCCATTTGGCTGACGTAGAACTTCATATTAGAGAAGAGATTCCTTGATCCCAATTACACCTTGCTTAAGATCATTTGAAACTTTCTTTTTAATGCAGGGTATTTTAAATTTTGTAAAATTTTTTAACTGCTCTGAATTAAAATGGCGACTAAAGCTTCATTCAAATACAATGTGCAGAAAAAGAATTTATTATAGCTGTAGAAGTCAATGTAAACTATGGGCATACCTGGGAGATATAGTGGGTTTGGTTCCAGATCACTGCAATAACATAGGCCATGGGAATTTTAAAATTTCCCAGTACATGTTGGGCTGCTAACCACAAGATTAGCAGTTCAAGCCCACCAACCACTCCTTGAGAGAAAGAGGAGGTTTTCTGTTCCCATCGCGATTTCCAGCCTCAGAACCCCACCAGGATAGTTCTGCTTTGCTCTATAGGGTCGCTATGAGTAAAAGTGGACTTGATGGCAGTGGTTTTATTTTTTGTTTGTTTGAGGGCATATAAAAATTATATTTACACATTATTGTCCATTAAGTGTTCAAGAGCACTATGAAAAAGTGTGAAAGGTTGCGAGAATCACCACAATGTGTCACAGAGACACGAAGTGAGTGTGCACATGTGGGTGGATAGTTGGGAAAAGGCAACAAGAGACGTGCTCAATGCAAGGGCACCAAACACAAACCCTCACTTTGTTTTTTAAACAATTTTAAGGCATTCTGCAGAGACCAAAATTAGGTAGGCCAGCATGCGTCTTTTAACGCATAATCTTTTTTCCCCAAAGAACAAGAATCCAACTTTTGTGTACTTAATTAACTGGATGTGTAGCATAAATATGCTGGAGAGAATTTTTGGAGGGCATTTAAACATAGACTTCCTCAAAGCCTTATCATTGTAGAAAAGAAGACAATATTTTGTAAGGATGATGTGTTAGTGATCCGAAGATCATAACATTTGTGAATAACCAGTGAACCCACCTAATCCCCCAGTGCCTACTTCACAGGGCTTATTTGAAACGAGTATAAGAAGATAAACCAGGCTGCACCCGCTCACCACACAGATCCAGTTGGAAACTGATAAAGGCCGTGGTCAGAAACTCGGCTAATTTAGAAGGCAGTTGGTAGTGGAATATCTTAGTCACGTGTGGGGACTTAACTTCTCCGGGCTCAGGAGCTGTTTTCACTGCAGACTCCAGAAAAGTAAGGTGCCTTTATTGGTTACTGTCAGAAGTTAGCTAGCTTTGCCCTCAATCACATGAAAGCACACACGTTTTACTTAGCACATTAATGTAAGAAATACCCTGCCACCGTTTCATCACTCACGGAAGAACAGAACACACGAATTTCGTTTCTACTGTCCAATTCTTTGCAGACACAAGAAAGACACATGGATGCTTAAATTGGAATGGTAATAGGGGTGGAATGTTGGGAAACAATACTAACGGGCCTTTCTTCCTTCTTGAATGAAAAGGAATGCACTACTTACATATGGAGGCTCCGGTCAAGGTCATTCACAGAGACCTCAAGTCCAGAAATGGTAACGTAGACTTACATTTCTATTGTCCCCGTGTCAGTACAAATCCGTGTACAGAGAGAAAAACCAGACTTTGCCGCAGAGCTTGTGTACCTTTTCTGTTTTGACCCATCACTGATCCCACGAAACTCTTGGTGTGTCAAGCTCCCAGTTCTCGACGTGATGTGAGGGTGCGTAGTCTTTCACTGCCATGTAGTGCACAGACGGTCCGTCCCAGATGTTTACTCTTTTCTACGATTGAACAATGTGAGGGTGAATACCAGTCGACCAAGTTTTCAACCCCTACTTCATTATCCCCCTAGAATCATTCCCTACAGGAAGTCTTGCTCAATCAAAATGTGCAGCCATGAATTTTTAGGGTTTTCACTATTTTCCCCCCAACAGACTCATTGGCATTTAATTCACACTTCATTACCACTCAATGAATAGTTCAGTCGCATAAAGAAGAGTTGTACAATTGAGCACTTTTTAGACAGTTCTCTGTGTTTGCGATGTGAATTCTGCCCTTGTTCCTGCTGAATGATTTGGTGCAAACTGTGTCTGTCCGTCAGGCCCACGTTACCTGGAGCAGGTCTGTGTTTGTGTGTATGTGATGGTCTGCGGGGTTAGGAGTCTGGACAGTAAACACATTCTGCTGCTTTCTCTCGTTTTTATTTTATACTTTGTGAAATTACTTAGGATCATATATTTTATAACATAGAGAGTGAGTATTTTAAGACGACTTTCAGAATTAGACATTACTTCCACTTAACAGAATGCAGAAGCATTCCATGATACCCCTTGAAAGTTCATGGACAGAGGCAGTAGGAAGAGTTAGTGGTCCAGCGCCAGCTAAGGTAAACATTGGAGCCTGCTCCTTTTTCTGAAATCTTGCTATCTTTTTCTAAGGGGTATATAAATAAGAAGGAGGAGAACCATTTATCTTTATGCAACCTTCAGATCGCTGCAGTTACAGTGGGTCTGTGGTAACAGTGCAGTCCTTAGAAGGGGTAGTGATGGCAAGTGGAGGAAGCGGTGCAGAGAGCAGCTGAGCCAGACTTACATCTGTCCTAGCCTGTGGAGTTTGCACGGCCCTGCTAGTCTGCGCTGGTCGGTGTTTCTTCTCGTCTTCCAGATCTTCACTGTTGTAGGGTACAAAAGCGACCCCATCGCAAATATAATTTAAGGAGAACACTTAGTAAGTCTTAAAAAAGACCAGGGCAGGCCCCATCGTCAGGATGAGGGAGGCCAGTAGCATAAGATCCAACTGGCGAAGCTCTGATCCATCCCTGATCCTTGGGCTTGTCTTGGGAGGAAGCTTCCTGGAACTAGACACTCTTGCTAACAGGAAGTCATTCAGTCAGCAATCTCGGGTCTGTTAGAAGGTCAGTTGATGACTTTTTAGTTGTCAGCTCATGCTCTGGATTTCAATCTGAGCATGTCATTTGACTTTGCTCTTATCAAGATACCTTCAATACCCCAAGGGGAAAAAATGATAAAATGATTAAGTTATGAGTTTTGTGTTTGCATCACCATAAAGACTATATAATTATAATGTCCCCATTTTAAAAAGCCTAATGTGTGCTGTCACTTAACAAGACAAACAGTAAAATAATAAAGACTTCACTTTTAGCAGTTTATTTTCCTTTATTTCCCTCCCTTGGGAGAGGCAACTGTAAACCTCATTTCTATGTTACACGCATATTTATTTATGTATTAAAAAATCATTTTATTGGGGCGCTGACAGCTCGTATAGCATTCCATACACCCATTGTGTCAAGCACGTGCTGGCATCACCATTTTCTAAACATTTGCATATTTATTTTTTATAAATATTAAGTCTTTGTTTTTTTAATGAGCACTTGTTAATCTTAGAATGAGTTAAAAGCTATAGATGTCTTTTCAAAATAACTTAACATAATACAGTATTATACTATATGAAGTATTGTATATGCATATACAAGAAAATGTCCTTAGCTTATTATTTACAACATCACATTTACCTTTAGGCTATTTCTACATATTAGGTTATGCAAAGATTAGTTTCATCACTTTCCAAAATCATCAGTAACAGCTAATAAGTACTGGTCATCTAGTATTTCCAAGGCATTGTGTCGCTTACAAAAGAAATACCAGGAATGGTTTTCTAGAGTTCCGCCCTTGACCTCCTCACCTCGGATGCTCTGCAGCCCTCAGCTCAGAGCAGTACCGCAGACGGTCTCTTCAACTTCAAAAGGAAAGTATCTCGGCATATTGAACATGTCCACATACATGTTCTATATGACTTAGAATGTACTGCACCCAAACTTGTCCTTTCACCTTCTCCCCCTACCTGGCCTCTCTCAGGGAGTGGCCGCTCCAGTCTCCCAAGCTAGAATCTAGTTTGAATCCAAAAGTGTTTGTTCTAGCCACCAGACTCTAATACCACCCCTCCTTTTCACTCATTAGTAATATTTCTTCAAGAAGTATTTCTTAAACACTCCCAGGTCCTATGCTGGGCTTTGAGAAAACAAAAAAGAATGCAAAGGTATGTTAATCTAGCATTACCACTCTAAGGGGAAACACTCACTGCCCGTCTAGACACCGTGGATCACTCTTCTTCACCCTTATTCCCAAGAGCTTGTAGCGGTGCACACCATCCTTTAGCTCAGGGTGAGGAGTGGCTGGCCCTGGGGTGGCATTAGGTCCCTGAAAGCATCAATACCAGCTAACGTCATGTGCTCCCCAAAGAGAAGCCACCCAGAAGCCATCACAGTAGGGGGGAGGTAACTAAATGCTTGACTAGTAGGGCCCTCGAATGATGTTTCAAATATCCAAGTGCCCTGTGGCACAGGAAATGGTCCCCATCCCTGTTTTAGCTGACTGTGCTGTTGACACGCACTGACACAACCTGTACGTGTGTGTCTGAGCCCCCTGCCCTCCTGCCATTTGCCACGGGCTTAGCATAGCATCCTCATCTCTCAGTAGGCCTAAACAACCTGCACAGCTATCTCCTCGCCTCCAGTTTGTTCCTCCGTAAGACGGTCTTCACAGGCAAATGTGATCTCTCCCTCCACGCAGGATCCTTGGCTCTCCTTGCCCTTTCTTCTGCTCCTGACTTCTGCGCAGCTTCTTCCTTCTACGTAGAAAAGGGCTTTTGTCCGCCAGCTGACTTCTTTTAGGTCACCACCATGTGTTTGCCAGGTCTTAGCATAAGTATAAATTCTTCCAGGAAACTCAGGAACCTTAGCTGCTCCTGCGCTTTGTGTCCGGCACGTTCCCTTTCTTTCCTCGGGAAGCTCATCCCACACCTCCTTGCCGAAAGCGGTTTCACCGGCTCGGCGTCAGACGACAAGCTTCCTCAGGACAGGGCTATACCAACCTGGCTCACTGGTCCCTTCCACAGCTTAGCCCATGACCTTGCACACAGTAGATGCTTGGCCATCACTTGATAAGTGGATGAAAGTATGACAGAGTGAATGAATAAATGTGAACTCAAACAAGGAATTCTTTTTATAATCATTTTATTAGGGGCTCATACAACTCTTATCACAATCCCTACATACATCAATTATGTAAAGCGCATTTATACACTCATTGCCCTCATCATTCTCAAAACATTTCCTCTCCACTTAAGCCCCCAGCATTAGGTCCTCATTTCCAATGAGCAGAAAACCATAGAAGCCCCAAAAACACTGTTGTCGTGAGCTAATGATGCTCTTGGCCTCCTCAGTGTCACCCGGACAGACCAGTAGAGAGCCTGGGTAAAACGGTGGTTCTCATGACAATGGCAGATCGGTGCCCCCCCTTTTTTAAAAAACAGGACAATCTGCGGCTCAGGGAATGAAGTTATTATTTTTGTTTTTGCACCCTTGTATAAAATCCCAAATGCCAGAAATGCTTTGATTTCTACTTTTCCTTTTGCCAAACTGAGCTCAGACTAAAGCTTTGCCCTTGTTTTTGCTCTTATCTTGATCAGGCGCTGGCATTTCAAACAAATTTGATGATTTTGCCGTAATGTCTCTCTCTCTCCCGCCTTTTGTTTTTCAGTCGTGATAGCTGGCGATGGAGTGCTAAAGGTAGGGCTACTTCTTTTCACTTAAAAAAAGTCTGTGTGGGGCCATTGTCGATGCGGACTCTGGGGCCTGACAAGTCCGCGGTCCGCTGACAGATAGCAAGTGGAGCCTGTTTCTCTTTTCCCAGATCTGTGATTTCGGCGCCTCTCGGTTTCACAACCACACGACACACATGTCCTTGGTGGGGACTTTCCCGTGGATGGCTCCCGAAGTGATCCAGAGCCTCCCCGTGTCTGAAACTTGCGACACGTATTCCTATGGCGTGGTGAGTTCATTTCTCTCTTCCGGTGGCCCAGAGGCAGGCGAAAGGTAGCCACTGTCAGGAAAGCGTCACACGGCTCTGAGCCCTGAGCGGTGAGCGCAGATTTCCGGAAGACCCTGTTTCTGGTGGAAGGCCTGGGGTGGTGGCCGTCACATTTCTAAATGCTGCTGATGGACTCACAGTTGCTGAAATAAGTACTGTGATGTCCTCTGCTCTCCCATGACCACACTGTTCGTGGAGTTCTGGGGTGATTTTAAAACATGTCTAGAAAATTCTTCCGTGTGCCTCCTTCCCAAAGTGGAGCCTAAGTGTCCCCCTTAGAGTGTGAAGAGGCAGGTCATTCTTCGGTGAGAAGGTATACCGACAGCAGTAGAAAGGAAGAAGGTGAGAGAGCAGGGGTGTTTCTTTGGTGGAAGAAGACATTCATTTGCTGTCTTTTTAAAAAACTCGTTTTATTGGGGGCTCTTATAGCTCTTATAACATTCCATACATCCATTGTATCAAGCATATTTGTACATAGGTTGCCCTCATCATTTCCAAAACATTTTCTACTTGAGCCCTTGATATAAGCTCCTCTTTTATCCCCTCCCTCCCCTCCCCTCCCACCCTCATGAATTATTATTATTTTGTATCTTACACTGTTCATTTGTTGTCTTTTTGAGGGATCAGTTGTTTATTCCCCCCCCCAAAAGCTGTATGTTCTTTAAAAACTCCAGTATTGTATTTGAAACTCCCTATCTGTGTCTCATCTCCCAACCGAAGTCCTCTCTACTTTATACTGTTACTTCTTCCAGGGAAATCTGCACAGTGACAGGGAAGGAACCTAGTGGGGGTCCCAATCACTGTCTCCCTTCTTCCTGAACGCTTGTGCTTTCTGCCTGAAGGCACGAAAAGAGACCAGCATTGCTGAATGCGTTCCTTTTTCTTTACAGTTAACCACCCTCCAGGTGTTTTAGGCTTGTTCCAACCCACTAATTTTTTTTCTAAGTCATAACATCTTGTAGACAGCCAATGAATATAATAGGCAGGAATTTTGTTGGCTGTTGAAAAATTTACTTCACCAATGAGATACATGAGGAGGCTTCAAAAAGTTTGTGGAAAAATTGGAACTAAAAGAAAATGGAATTTTCCCACCAACTATGTGAAGCGCCCCCTGTATGTTTTTGGCTAAGGGCTAGAATTGTATAGGTTGGAAGACAACAGTGGCATTAGGCCACGTGCCTAATTTCCCTGGATTCTGGGTGTCTCTAAGAATGAAGGCTACAAGCTTTTTCAGCTGGGGATCAAGTCATTCTTATTCAAAGAAGGATAAAAAACTTAGAAGAGACTAGATTCTAAAACTTAGCTCCTCTGTCAAAGTTATTACATTTCAACTATACTATGTATCAACTCATATATTTATATACTTCTTTATAAATTATTTGCTGGAATGTGGTGAAAAAAGCTGATGGTGTCCAGCTATCAAAAGATATAGCGTCCAGGGTCTTAAAGGCTTGAAGGTAAACAAGCGGCCATCTAGCTGAGAAGCAACAAAGCCCACATGGAAGCAGCACACCAGCCTATGTAACCACGAGGTGTCGTCAATGGGATCAGGTATCAGGCATCAAAGAACAAAATAGCATGTCATTGTGAATGAAGGGGAGTGCAGAGTGGAGACCCAAAGCCCATCTGTAGGCAACTGGACATTCCCTTACAGAAGGGTCGCGGGGAGGAGACGAGCCAGTTAGGGTGCAGTATAGCACCGATGAAACATACAACTTTCCTCTAGTCCCAAATGCTTCCTTTCCCCACTATCATGTTCCCAATTCTACCTTACAAATCCGGCTAGAAAAGAGGATGTACACTGGTACAGATAGGAACTGGAGACACGGAATCCAGGACAGATAAACCCCTCAGGATCAACAATGAGAGTAGCAATACCAGGAATGGAAGGTAGGGGAGAAAAGGGGAACTGATCACAACAATCTACGTATAACCCCCTCCCTGGGGGATGGACAACAGAAAGGTGGGTGAAGGGAGACATCGGACAGTGTAAGACATGACAAAATAATAATAATTTATAAATTATCAAGGGTTCGTGAAGATGGAAGGGTGGGGGAGGGAGGGAGAAAAAGCGAGGAGCTGATACCAAGGGCTCACGTAGAAAGAAAATGTTTTGAGAATGATGATGGCAACAATTGTACAAATGTGCTTGAGAGTTGTATGAGCCCCCAATGAAATTATTTTTTAAAAAAAATAAATCATTTGCTGGAAACTCTGAAAAGTGGAGCACTTGTTGGGATGTGGGCTATTTTGTGAGAGTGCTTTCTCTGTCTGGGTTATTTTCCATCATCCTTCTGTGTCTGCGTTGATGGGTCCCCGAGTAGTACACTGGATAACTGGAAATGCAAAGGCGGCCGTAAGAGTCAGGGCAAAGCAGCTCCTGTCCCCAGCCGCCTGCCAGCTCGGCTCTCCAGAGGCAGCTTCACGCACAGCTTTCCACTCCCTGGAGCAGGTGGACCCCCATCTCCTGAAGTCACAAACTCTTGTTGCTAACGTGCTAAGTCTTTAGGGTTGGAAATTGTCCATTCACTTTCTACTTGGATGAAGATGTGAGTCTTTACTTCCTTGCCTCACATTCTCAATCCTATTTCATCACAATTTTAGGTTGATGTATTGCCTCTCCGTTATGATGACTGTATCCATATTGTTCACAGAGGCTTGTAATTCAGTAGGAACAAGGCTTCCTGTCTTGTAAGTTTTTTTTTCTATAGTGAATGGCAAACTTAATCTTCGCTTGCTTAGTTGTTTTACAGTTTGCACACTTATGTCATATGAAATCTTTGCCAAATCCTCTTTCACGCCTATGTTTTCTTCTAGAATTTATAGGTTTAACTTCATGCATGTAGACCTATACTCCATCTTAAAGATTTTGGGGGTGGGGGTGGATCGGACATTGCTGAAAATCAATAGATTGTATATGTGCCGGTCTCTTTCTGGGCTGTGTTCTGTGTCGGTGTGCCAAGTTCATTCCCAAACTGACCGTCAAAGCTGAGGGCCCACCGTCACTTCTGGCAAATACCTCGTTCCCTCGTGCCCCTTTCTCTGTGACATCCTGGGCTCTCAGACCTCCTGTTCTCGCTGGGACTGGTGGCCACCTGGTGCTGCTGCCCCTCCTCTGTCACCCAAGAGAGTGTCTGCTCCTTGACCTGGGGACTCCTCTGGCTCTTCAGCTGACAGATCTTCTGTCTGGGTCTCATGCCGTCTCCCTTCTCAACTCGCCTCCTGTGTTTCCGCGTCATGTTCCTGGATATTGTTCTAGTAGAGGTCCATTGAGGGTAAAATTGTAAAGCCTTGAACATCTGATGATTTCTGTTTTCTGTCTTCACATTCTATGGGTTTTATATTGAAAATAATAATCCTACCACCTCCAGCTTGAAATTTCATTCTTCTGCTATATAAATTTTATATTGAGAATAATAATCCTACCACCACCAGTTTGAAATTTCATTCTTCTGTTCTCTTCCAGTATTGCCGTCACAGTTCCCAGTCCCTAGAGTGTGAATTTTTTAGGGTTTCCTCTTTATCCATTAGTGGATGTTCTAGATCAGTGGTTCTCAACCTTCCTAATGCCGCAACTCTTTAATACAGTTCCTCATGTTGTGGTGACCCCCCAACCATAAAATTGTTTTTGTTGTTATTTCATAATTGTAATTTTGCTACTGTTATGAATCAGATGACCCTTGTGAAAGGATGGTTCGACACCCCCCCCCAGGGGTCTCGACCCACAGGTTGAGAACCGCTGTTCTAGTGCCATGCAAGAAATGTGTGGGACTCGCCAACTTACCAACTTCAGGTTCTTCCCTCACGGCGTCTGTGTTTCTTTGTTTCCTAATAATTTTCTCTCCACTGTTTCCTGTTCCTTGAATTCTAGTTAGCGAGAATTGAATCGACTCCGTTTCTAGCCTTTTTCCCCACTGAGCCTTTCTCCATTTACCACTACCCCTTTCAGGGAGGTGTGTTTTTCCCCAACCTTGTCCGCCAACCCTATTTAATTGTCTGGCTAATTTGGAGATTAAAATGTCTAAGTTCTTTCTCTGCCTCTCTCTCCTGGCTGCCCAGCCTGTCTGATTCTCTGATCACAAATACAGTCTTGGAGCGCGTTTCCGGAGCTACCAGTTCCTGTGTTTTACCATAGGCTCTGGTTCCTTGGACTGGGCCCCTTCCCTCCTACTTCTTGCTGCTTCCTCCCATTGGTGGAAGTCTTTGTCTTCTCTGTGGAAGGGCTGGTGATCTCTGACAATCTGGCAATGTTTAGGATCGAGGTGATCACCTGCTGAGAAACTCTGTGTCTGTCCAGGTCGCCCTCCTCACCCAACAGCTGCCATGGGCTTGTCCCCTTGGGAGACCCTGAATGTGCACTTGATGTCTGCTGCCATGTACTATGCTGGACGTCAGCTGTAGGGACCATTTGGCATGTATTTTCTTTGCTCAGGGTCCCATTTGATCCTGCAGAACCAGAGTTGACAAACTTTTCCTCTGGCCAGATAGAAAATCGGTGAGGCTTTCCGGGCCACTTACAAGTCTATGTTGCCAATTCTTTGTTATTTGTTTCCCACCCTCTTTTTGAAGAACGTAGAGACTGTGCTGCCTTGTGCAGCAGGCAGGGCACGTCTGCAGACACTGCTGTAGGACACCCCCACCCCCGCAGCAGCCACAACCACACACACACACACACACACACACACACACACACACACACACACACACGACTATGACCTTAAGGGAAGGGAAGGAGGTAAAAGTTGTATTTTTCTTTTTTTTTAAGCCACCCCTTAAAAGATGACTGCTTTTTACTCTTCGTTCTTGGTTTGTTTTTTTCCTGGACTTGCAGTAAGACTTGGGCCCCCATTTCTGTCCAAAATACTCTCCTCCAAGCTTGGTAAACTCATGTTGCTTCTTTCCACACGGCAAGAATAACCAGCCTTGTACAGCCTTAAAATACTTTCACTGCCAATGCCAAGAGTGGGTCTTGTGATCCTTGCTTCTAAGTTGATCCTTGCTTCAGTGCTGGGCAGGCACTTTCTCTCTCTCTCTCTCTCTCTCTCTCTCACAGGCAGTCCTCTCTAGCTCTCTCTCTCTCTCCATTTCATAAGGAAGGAGGTGTTTGTTGTTGTTTTTCCTAGTACTTCCTGACGACTTCCTTTGAAGGTGTTTCTTATGCCCCCCACAATAAAGATAAGACTTAAGCAAAGCAAAAAAAAACCAACCAAAAAAATATTGACAGAATAAGCCTTCTAAGAACAAAGCTCTCCTAATGACAATGCCGAAAGAATTACCTTCTTAGAAACTTCTTGGCCAAAACCAGCTTTGAAAATAGAGTGGCTTAAGAGAGATCGAGAGGCTGGCTCACGGCTCTGTGAACCACATTCTGGAGCAACCCGGGGCTCAGGTAATGACTTTCCATTGTTTGTAAAAGAATAGGCCGGAAAAATACTCAGCCTGGTCCAAGTTTCTATCCTGTAAACTGAAAATAGGCATTTCCCTTGTGAGCACAGTTTAAATGCGGAGACTTCTCGATATAAACGAGATGGAAATGTTTTTAAGGTGAAGGATGGTGGTCATGCTTGGCCTGCTATGTTCAGGCACTGCGTGGTGTATTTTTAGGCCTCCCCAGTGACTCCCTGAACAGAGTTACTTTGCTTTTCTGGTGCCAAATGCCCCTTCATTTAGTAGAGAAAAAGCTCATACCACCTATCGGATCCATCGGTGAATCCGTGGATTAATAGGAAGCCACAGAAGGGTGGAGGCTGGAATTGAACAGAGCAGCCGTGTGGTCGGAGCACAGTGGTGATGCACCCCACCAGCAGTGGAGCGCCCACCCCTGCCCATCCCCTGCCACCTCTCTCCGGCCCACTGCTGGAGCAGCCCTTTGGAAAGGCAGGCAGCGAGTGACATGGAACAGTCTTCCTGTTCTTTTCCCAGGATGAGCACTTGTAGAGAACTACAACCCTGATCTTCTTAGACGTAGGACCTTTTCCCAACTATCTCAGGATAAAGAATCACCTTCTAAAAGTGTGTGTGTGTGTGTGTGTGTGTGTGTGTGTGTGTGTGTCTCGCATGTGCGCACTGTTCCCCAACTTGGGTTTTGCATTTTATTTCATTAAACCCAGTCCGTCTTGCTTTGGGGCCTGTCCGTGGAGGACAAAGCCTGGCGGCGTAGTGATTACGTGCTGAGCTGCCAGTCACTGCTGGAACCCACCGGCACCCTGCCAGAGGAAGATGAGACTGTCTGCGTCCCCAGAAGATTTCCAGCCTCAGAGACCCGCCTTTGGGCTGCGATGGGTTAGACCTGGCTTGATAGCAATGACAGTGAAGGCTGGGAGGTCAGACGTAGAGAAGAGGCCCACGGCTGCTCATCTGAGCACTTCGGGATTGCAACCATTGGGTTTCTTTGACGCCAATTCACGCGTCATTCCTCCTCAGGGATGTCAGATTCATGCCTTTGGTTTCTTTGAAGCCGATTCTTTCACATTCCTCCTCCAGAATGCCAACTTCACGGTTCTGCTCCACGTGGACCTGCCCCTCCTCCACCCAGCCCCCGTGGCGCCCATGGAGGGCTTCATTTCCTGCTCAGCCCTCTTGCTGCCCGCCTCCCCGGGCATGCCCTGGGCAGGCTGTGCAGTGTGTTGGGGTCACTGCCGTCTGTCCCAGCCCTTGCCCTCCTTTCCCTTACATTTAACCAAAAATGGCCCCTTCTGGGAGACCCCGTACCTTTTCCTAATCATGTCCCTGACTCAGTAGAGTTATTTTGGTAGCTCTTCTAAAGAAGCACCTTACACACTTGACTCGGGCCCCCAAAAGGTCAGGGATTCACCACCAAGACCCCCACCGCTTGAGCCGAGTCTGCCAATTTCCCTGGCTCCCTGCTAATTGTCATAACTGTTAGCCGGAGTCCGTTTAGCAGGTTGTGGCTCAGAGAAGATTGAGCATTGGCGGAGGCGATGCGGGCAGTCTCGCGGTTACAGGATAGCCAGTTTATGGACAACACAAACTTGCCCTTGAAGGCTAGGTAAATCGGCCCTCATTTCGAAACGACTGAGCCAACCCTTCGTCCGCACAAAGTCTTCACCCCAATCACCATCACTTGCTGAGCGTGCGACTTTTAAATCTCCGAGACGCATTGAGCCTTTTCTCGCATGGACGCCTGGCTTGCCAGACTTGGCTGATCCTGGGACTCACCTGCGGTTCTGGAGAAACGACAGGTCCCTGAGTTCCAATGGTAGCCGGAAAGAATCAGATTCACTAGGGGGAGGAGCCTGGGGATCTGCAGCTTCGCCGGATCTCCTGGTGATTTCAAAGATCAGCCGAGTTTGGGCACTAAATTAAGGCTAACCAGGAACTCGTGCACTGATCTGGTTCTGCTATGAGTTCCAGTTAAGGAACGAATGACCTTGCTAGGAACTGCTCTTGTTGGGGACCGGGGACTGCCTGTGCTGGCGATGCGGTTAGAAGTTCATAGGCCTTGGCCCAATAGTGTGTCCTCGGTCTTCCCTCTGTCTGCTAGACGGTGTGTGTGTTCACCAAGCACATCTGCTGTGTCCTTGCTGCGTGTGTCTGCCACGACCCTCGATCCACAATATGGCACATTGCGTTCTCTCTCGCCCTGCACTCCCTACCTCATAGCACCTGCTTTTCGGCCCATTACTGAATCTGGTAACTCCTCCAGAGTCTCATGGAGTTCGTTTCCGCCACTTGGTAACGGTCTTTGGGCCGGTTATTTGGTTTCCTGAAGACTCCTCATCTTAGGAAAGCAGGATTTCCTGAAGGTTTCCTCATCTATAAAATAAGGGTAATATCTACCCACTAGAGTTGATATTACTCATGATAGCATAAGCAAAGGGTTTAATAGGTCCCTAGAACATAACAAGCACGGCAGAAATGATAGTGGCCATGGCTATCACAGTCATGACTGAGTTGAACGTTCCGCACAGTATTGGCAGACTCAAGGTTTATTTGTATACCCAGACACAGTGACCGAGTGCACACATCTCTGTTCTCCGTGTTTCAAGAGAAGACCTCACTGGTGGCTGTTCTCAGCATGATCAGTATTAGGGCTTCAGTTATTTTGGCAACCCAGTTGATGTTCATTAATCATTGCTGATTTCAAGAACCGCAGAGGGGTTGAACATCCACACACAGAGTATACATACAGAGAGGGTGTATTACACCTTAGAACAGAGACTAAATCGTGAGATATGTTATAGGTGGATGAAAGTGAACATATTAAAAGCCCTTAGGACTTAACTCAATTTGAAAGAGATTTCTCCAAAACCGGAAATCTAAACGTAGCCATCGCAAGTCTCTACCATTGTGGATTAACTGGCTTCTTCCGCAGTGATTTGGATCTCCAGCTCAATTTTTTTTATGAGGCCATTATTGAACATACTTGAGCTCCTAGTTATTATCTTATGGATAAATTCACCAGAGACTGATAGTAGAAAGGGTTTCAACTAACAAAATGCATAATCTAATTTGTGGGACTCCTTGAGAATCAGGCCCATTGGTGTTAGTCTGACTTTAGATGTTCTAATGCCGAAGCCAGCTTTTTTCCTTTTTTCAATTTATGATAAAAGGTATTAAACATCTATAATATAATATATGGAAAGAGTCCGGAGCATGAATATGTATGTTTTGCCCAAGTTTCTACAGATGAGGTTGATTGTGTGTGGTAATTGGATGCAGTTAAAGGGTAGATAAAATTTCAGTCATATACCAAAAAATATAAAGTACAAGAATAAAAATTCCACTTTCTTTTTGTTCCAGGTTCTCTGGGAGATGCTAACAAGGGAGGTCCCCTTTAAAGGCTTGGAAGGATTACAAGTAGCTTGGCTTGTAGTGGAAAAAAACGAGGTAAGACTACGCTTCTCCATTCAGGTACATAGATCAGAAAACAGTATTGGGTTTTTGCAAAAGACTTTTTCATCTTCTTCAAATTGAAAGTAAGTTCACGCGTATGGAAAGATTAGCAGTAGGAGCTAACACAAAGGGTCAAAGTGATGTTATTCCTCATGAATGGGCCCTTTACATCTAATTGTTGCAGCCTCACGTCGTGATGCTGTAGATCAAAAATTGTACAAGTACTGTACTAGTTTCTCAGTCTCAATTGTAAAACCTGGGGGTTTGTTCTTAGTGATGAAAGAAGCCATTGCGTCCAAGGTAGGGGAACAGTTTAACTCCATCTCCTGCGTTTAGGACATCTTTTTTACTGGCCGGGAGTTGATATATCTGTAAGAGACCTTCAGCGACTTCAACTTACCTCTCCCAGCAGGAGTCACTGTAGTACAAGAAACTGTCGCTTAGATGAGAATTTCAAAAATAAAAGAAGAAAAAATAGTTTCAAAAAAGGGAAAAATTACAGATTTGCCACCTACGTTGAGCACTACATTGAAGATGAGCCCCTCGCTGGAATTGGCGAGGCAGTGGCCTAGCTTTTGCTTCTTCACGCAGGGCCTTTCCATTTCAAAAGGACTTCAGTGGGTAAACACCGCTTGTGCCGGGTCCCCAGCCTCGCTTTTCTTCTCCCACAAATTGAGGCGTTCAGTGAGTTGGGCCTATGAGCCTACATCAGAGAACATGGAACATTCATATCAAAGAGAGCAACTACATTTTGAAAGGTTTCAAATTGTGACTGAACGGCACAGCCATGGAGATTTGCAGCATAAGGATGAAGCATCCACTCTCAAGGTATTAGGAGAACGGAGATCATGGAGTGGAAGCGGGCAGTTATCGTTGCAGTGCAAAACCACTTTATTTCACAAGACTTCTGCCTTTCTAGACCTTAGCTGTGCCCTTTGACAAAGAGTGAGGATGCCACTGGAGGATAAAATCATTTGCCAAGTCGGTGAATATAGAAAAGCATTCCCTTTTTAATGCTTGAAAAGAGTCGGGGTGATCCGATCCCCGTGCGAGTGCCAGGAACAGATGAGATTCATGAAGTCGCCGCTATGGGCTAGGAGAAACCAAGTGTCCCCTGCTTTAGAGCTCCTCGTCCCAAGTTATCTTAGTGATTTGTCCTCCGGCTTCATTGGGAATGGGGGAAATGTTCATGCTCGCTGGCCAGGGTGGGAGAGAGTGGCCAAGTTTAAGGAACTGGAAAAGCAGTCAGCCACCAGATTGTGTCACCCCTCGTTGTTCCAGCAGCGGGGTTCCGTGGAAGTGAGTGTGACAGTGGTTCCTGGTGTGTTTGTTTCAGAGTGACTGAGGTTCTCACGATTTGAGGACCCGCTCTCTCCTGTGCCCCTCTTCTGGTGTGGTGATGCGATGTGTGGCTCTGAGTTTACAAATGTGAGTGGAGAAAACCGTGGACCTTATGTGGACCGAGGAGCACACCACTCGGTGTCATCTTTTTCCTCTAAATTGTTTCCAGAGAAACCAGGGGACAGTCGTTGCGTGTCTGTTTGCTTCCAAAACGAACTAGCTGGGCTCTCTAAATGTGTGTCCTAAAGAATAATTACATTTTTAAAAATACCCTATTTTCTAAAGGATGGCAGAAAGATGTGTCAATCTACAGCATTTTTAAAACGTTGAAATATCTGCCCTGGATGTTTAAAGCTGAAGAGAGAAGTGAATGTAGAAGCTGCCTGTGGATAATTGAAGGTGGGGAGTCATTCATGGAACCCTTAGAGCAGCCGTTCTCAACCCGTGGGTCGCGACCCCTTTGGGGGTCGAACGACCCTTTCACAGGAGTTGCCCCTCTCCTAGCAGTAGCAAAATGACAGTGATGAAGTAGCAATGAAAATAGTGTTATGGTTGGGGGTCACCACAACATGAGGAACTGCATGAAAGGGTCACGCATGAGGAAGGTTGAGAACCACTGCCGACCCTCAGGAACACTGGGCCGAGCGCAGTGATCTTCCTCGTTTCCCCACAAAGCTCTCAACCCCAACACCCAACTCCCGCCCTCAGGTCAGTGCCGACTCCCAGCGACTCTGCGGGGGAATCGGTCGATTTGATCCGGAATATGATCTGTTGGACTAGGTACCCAGACGCCTCCCCGCCTTCTTTACTAACCCATCAGCTAGTAAATCCTGGTCGATTGAAAGAAGCCCGCTCGATTTTCCATTGTATTTAAGAAAAACTGCCCACTACTAAGATCTAGGATCTCGTTCTGCAAAATATGTAATTGTCAAAATTATAGAGGTTTAAGTGTGTTTTTCACTGTCACCGTTCAAGAAGACATCACCGTTTCACCTCATAGACGGAGACACTTATTTTTGAAAGAGATTCTTTTTACGTAACATTACGGTAATTCCTGATGCTGTTCTAATGCCACATAATAAAATCGAGACTTTGACCTAAATAAACCTAGTGGTTTACAAAATTCCTCCACCTTCTGATTATTTTTACTTTGGAATGCCTCAAGTTCATGGATATTAGCTATTGGGTTGAAAAGAAGTTGTTGTTTTTGTTTTTAACAAGCCTTATTTACATAAAGAATGGCGTGTTAAAACCATCAGGAAGGTTTTTGAAAGATGATCTCAAAAAACAAAAAAACCTCGCTGCCACGGAGTCCACTGTGACTCATCAGGACCCTGCAGGACAGGGGAGCCGTTAACCGTCACGGGAGCGCAGAACCCCCTCTTCCTCCTCAGGAGCAGCTGCTGGTGCCTAATGTTTCCCGTGGGGTTTGCAGCCCAGCCCAGAACCCGCTCTGCCGTCTCGTCCTCCTGCAGTGTACCCAAATCCACATGTGAAGATTGCTGTGTATTTTAAAATAATTACAGGAAGTTTCAAAACTGGTGTAAAGATTCATACGTACCCTTCATCCAGTCCAGTTTCCCCCACAGGTGACAGATTAGGATGTAGCTATGGCAGACTGTCAGAAGCTGGAACTGACGTTGGTAGACTTAATACTTAACTAGCTTGTAGACCTTGAGTTCACCATTTAAAATGGCCTTTCCTTCCTCTGGTTCTTGGAAGCTTCCTCACTCCCCACTATCATGACCCCAGTCCTGCCTTTCAGTTCTGGCTAGTACGGAGCATGTGCACTGGTACAGATAAGAGCTCATGACACATGGAATCCAGGTCAGATAAACCCCTCAGGTACAGAATTGGAAGTAGTATACCAGGAGCTTAGGGAGAAGGTCGTGGGGGAGAAGGAAAGGAAGGGGGAACCAATTGCAATGATCTACATATAATCCTACTCCCCCCCAATGAAAAACAGAAACTGTGGGGGAAGGGAGACAGTGGTCGGTGTAAGATATGAAAATAATAATAATTTGTAATTTATTCAGGGAGTCACAAGAGAAAAAAGAGAAGCTGATACCAAGGGCTCAAATAGAAAGTAAATATTTAGAAAATGATGATGGTGACATATGTACAAATATGCTTGAAACAATTGATGTATGGAATGTTATTAGAGCTGTAAGAGCCCCCAATAAAATTATTTTTTTTAATTTAAATAAAATTGCCTTTCACACCATCAGAGAATCAGTACTCACTAAAGATTGTGCCTGAAATCTTTGCTTCTAAACCCTCAATCATGAAAGAAAATTTTTAAGTAAATTTTTTTCACTAATATTAAATTTTATGAGAATCATAAAGTATTACTAAACCTTACTGAAAAGAGCAAATCCTTACAGATTTAGAAGACATGCAATTACAAAGATAATACTAATAAACTTTAAAACATTACAGATATCAGTATTTGCCTTGTCATTTTGGTAAGACAGCCAGTGGTCATTTAGAATGCTTTGGCAGTCTAATTTCTATTTTCAAAAAATGCCTAAATTTTTCCCTATATAAAGTTTGCTGTTTTTCCTCATTGTTCAAGGTACTATTCTTGATTGACAAAGATGACCTGATACAACTTAATCCATTGCTCCTGACAATAGGAAAAGATCATTTAAAAAAAACTTGATTTAAAGTAATTTTTTTACATCTTATATAGGGAATGGTACAACGGAGAATGCCATCTATGACCTTTAAAAAGAAAGCCATGCCCAATTTAGTAGTTGGGAAAAGTTTTCATTTTGAACTTGAAACTTTTAAACTGTTTACGTAGTCTTACCAAGCTGGCTAGGAGCTCGTTCGATCGGCATGTTTTCATGCATCCAGAATGCTCACCATTCTGTAACCAGCACTCTGATGTGGGGATTCTATTTGGAAGTGCTTTTCAATGCATTTGAACCTTACAGAAAGTATCTGGACTTCAGCTGATGTTTGGCTGTGTCTAATTATTAAGAAGAAGGGTGTCTCCTTGAATAAAGTCTCAAGTGTGGGTCTCTCAAAAGTGTGTCCTCCAAATAACTGGGAGAACTGATCAGTGTCCATAGTTGCCCCGTTCGTGGTGGAATGTTGTGACAGCCCTTTGGCCATGGAGTCCACTCAGACTCATAGTGACCGGATAGGACAACAGAACTGCCCCTTTATGTTTCTGAGATTTCAAATCTTCACCATCTCCCGAGGAGGGTCTGCTGGGCTAGAACTGTGCGGATAATGAAGCACTCTTGGATGCTTACACCTACGGATGAATGGACGAACACACCAGCTACAAGTGCACTCTGATGAAACCAGACTCCAGGGGCCCTGGTGGCATAGTGGGCTACGCATTGGGCTGCCAACTGCAAGGTCAGCAGTTTGAAACCATCAGTTGTATCTACTCTCATAAAGATTAGCGACCTCAGAAACTCACAGGGGGAGTTCAGCCCTGCCCCCTAGGGCCTGCCCGCTAGGGCCGCCACGAGTCAGAACCGCTGAAGGAGTGAGTACTAACACTCGAATTGTTGGAGCGCACATTTTCACAGACCCTGGTAAACCGATGAATCAAGCAAAACACAACCTGCTTTGGGTTTATTTTGATAGTTGCAATCTTGGAAAGTTCAGTGCATATCAACAGTCTTCAAAAAAAATGTCTTTTTAAACTCTCTTTACTTGTAAAGCAGTCGCCTCTTGGCTCAGAGACTGTAAATCTCTTTGCTTGGTTTACTTACATGCATGCACACCAAGCATTTGAAATGTGGTGGGATGCAAGTGAGGTCGTGGTCCTGTAAGAGTCCCAAGGGCCCTGAAGGATGTCTAGGAGCCCTGCTGGCCTCGTGGGTTACTTGCTGGGCTGTTCCCCAGAAGGTCAGCAGTTTGAAGCCACCAGCCCCCCACCCCACCCCACCCTCGCCCTCCCAGGAGAAAGACAAGGCTTTCTAATCTCATGGATATTTGCAGGGGCAGGTCTACGTTCTGCCCACAGGGTCTCAATGAGAAAGACGTGACTCAAGGGCTGTGAGTTTTGGACAGGATCTAGTATACTACCGGGCCTGTCCTCCTTTAAAAATGCCAATTGCCACCGCCCACCCAGTACTGACAGCATGCAGGTATCCCCTGCTGTGGGACGTTTGCTTTCTGACACTTCCATTTCCGACCTGCATTAGCACCTGGTCTCACTAAGTGAATCAAGGCATTTGAAAAGGATTTTGGTTTTCACCAAAAGGGGGTCGGAAAGCAAAACCAGCCTTGGGCGAATGTCTGGGCAGCCAGCCATTCAGGAGGCCAGACCGAGCTAGAGCAGCAAGCGTGTCCCTGTGGAGTCCCTCCCTCCCTGCTGGGAGGACACTGCGTCCCAGCCCTGCACTCTGTGCCTGCAGCCGCGGCGTGCCAGGGCCGTCTGATGTGCTCTGGTGGAGTATTTGGGGAAGGTCTGGGAATGGTCACGGAAAATGTTCCCAGATAAATGAACGGTAGCTGCGTCTTCGTCTTACGCCATTTCTGTTTACATGAGGAATGCTGTCCTTTTAGAGGAGGGAATCTGGGTTGGTTTAACCAAAACTGAGCTGTCATGAGTCATACACTGTTCTAGATTGTATGTCTTGTACCTCCATGTGCCTCTGTGGCTATAATCCCATTTGGGAATGAGTTGGCTTCATCACGTTTGCCTACCGTGCATTTTTTAAAGTCAATCTCATTAGAAATACAGACTAAATTTTTACAAAGAGGCTCAACAAGAAACAGGGGAAGCAGAGAGGCAAAGCCACATAGCGACCCCCAGGGGCAGGAGCTCGGAAGGACCAGGGCCTTCCCTTACAGCCAACAGACTAAAGCTTCCCTGAGAACTAGCACCCTAAATGCAGACTTCCAGCCTCCCCAACTGTGAGAAAATACATTTCTGTCCGGTCCAGCACCCCACTTGTGGTGTTTGTTACGGCAGCACTGGGTCCCTCGGACTCCCTCACCTCCCGTTGAAAACGCACAGCTGCTGGAAACTCTCCCCTGATCTTCTCCGTGCAGAGATCCGCGAGTTGCACACCTGCTGCCAAATTGAACTGCTTTCCCAAGCGCCAAGTCTGCTTCCGTAGATCCCAGTTGCCGTAAATGTCACAGCGACAGATTTCTGGTGTTAGACTTAGTGTTTAAGTTCCAGCTCACCCCTTTCTCAGTAGATTCTTTTGCGCTTGGTTCTATGGGTGTGTGTGTGTGTGTGTGTGTGTGTGTGTGTGTGTGTGTGTGTTGCCACGCAAGATTTTCCCACCTACCATGATTCTTCTTTGGAGGAAAAGAAAAGCGTGTTTCTTAAAACAGAACTCTTAGGATAGACATATGGCTGTCTGCACAATGGGACAGAGCTGCAGAAGAAGGCCTGCTTAAAGCGTTAAAAACGAGAGCTGTCACTTTCAGGATTGGGCGACCTGCCCTACACAAGCCACGGTATTTTCAGTCTCCTCATCTTCTTGTGAAAGCTGCCCAGCACATAGGGAAGACCGGAGAAAACGCCCTGCATCTGAACGACGGTGCTGGCAAAGAACATCGAGAGGGCCAGGGACTGCTGGCAGAGCGAGCAAGCTATCTTGGAAGAAGTA